TTAGTTATTATTATTATTATTATTATTATTATTATTATTATTATTATTATTATTATTATTATTATCATTATCATTATCATTATCATTATCATTATCATTATCATTATCATTATCATTATCATTATCATTATCATTATCATTATCATTATTATTGAATCTCTCTGTACAGAGGGGTTGTGTTCTACAAGATGCTGACCGGAGTCAGACCCTATAACGTCCCAACAGACTACGACAAGGAGGTGCGGAAGGAGCTTTTACTGGTGAAGATGAAGGAACCGCTAGACTTCAGCAGGAGCACGCATCTATCTGAAGGTGCCTGGAGCTTCCTCTCTTGTGATTTCAAATTTAATTGGATGCACATATTTTTTCTATACTATGATGTACCATAAGTTGCTTTCTGTAAAAATGCTGCAAAAAAAGGATATAGCTAGAAAAGTAATTTGCAAAGCAAATGCATAACGTTTGGATTCACACATATATGGTCTGTCTGCTCTGTTAACGTTATTTCTTGCTCACACGCATTCATATACATGGTGACAGGAGTCTAGATCCCTCCTGCTATAAAATTGCAACATGATGTAACCCAACACTAGTTACCATGGTGACAAACGTCTGTTTCAGGTCATTGACCTTATTTGTTTGGAGAAGAAGAAACAGAGCAAAAAAAGCATGTTTTCCTTCTGTGAAGGTTAACATAGCAACGCGTTACTAATACTATTGTATTTTGCTCCAGATGCTAAGTACCTAGCCAGGACAATCCTACAAGTAGACATGAAAAGGCGGCCCAGTCTGAAGCGTATCCTCGCACACCCCTGGCTGCGGAGGCCCCACGCGTGGTCTGCCGTTGTTCTAGACATTGTGGAGAAGTTCAAAGACCACTACCAGAACTTGGGAAGTGACAAGTCCTCCAACTGCAATGCCGAGAATATCCGCCAGGTGGATGACAAAGTCGAGTCGTCTGAAGAAGAGGGAAGTAGCGACGCGGGCAGTTTCTCTCTACGGGAAGTACCCGGTTTGGACTCGGACCTGGATGGACGGAAGGCGCCCTCACCGTTACACACGACTCCTGAGGGGCTCAGCCAGGATGAACCCTACGGAGAACCAGCGGACACAACTGCAGACGGCAGACGACCGAGAAGGCGGCGAAAACGTATCAGCTTGGACAAGACGTCAAAAGGAAGAGTTCCAGAAGAGCTCGAGATAGCTTACATCGAGAACCAACAGCCGAAGAAAGAGGATGACAGCAAAATGGAATCTCCTGGTCGAAAACAGAGGCAACGTGCAAAGCGTAACGCCAAGCAAAACGGAAGGGATCCCAAAACAGAAAAAGAGGAAGATGCCAAAGCTACAGTTACTGACAGAAAAGCCCCAGAGAAAGAGTTCGGCAAACAAAGGAAGGCATCTGACGATGGGACTAAGGAGAATATAAAAATGGCGCCATCCAGGGGAGGACAAGGAAACCACGTATCAGCTGAGAACAGAAAGAGCGCGAAAAAACGAGCATCACGTGGGCGACAGAAAAAAGAACTGACAGAAAAACACACAAATGAAGAACCCTCTCACGTGACGATCAAGGGCAAGGAACGAGGCACTGCTTTAAGGAAGACAAAACGCTCACTTGAAGATGAAAATGAGTTTCAGACAAAAGAAGCCCCGGTCCGCACTGCCGTCGAAAGCGTCCAAGATGATTATGAGTACAGCGACGACTTCGAAGAAGATTCTGAAGAAATTGAAGATCAGAAACACAATAAAATCCAGGGGCGCAAGAAATCTGTTCCAGAAAGGCGCAAAGTGCATCCCCAAGTCAGGGCTTTGCAGAAAAACCGTGCGGTAAAAACAGCCCTTTCTTCACAGAGAGACAGTTTCAAGCCAACAAAAGGACGACAGTATTCATCCGCAAAGGCGCGGGTCCACCGAGGGGTAGATCTAGAGAGTCACCACGCCTCACCATGGTACGCCAAGCGGCAAGATTCGTCCCCAGAAACCCTTTCCCCGCCCCCGGAGGAGTTGCTACCCGCTGCGGACGGAGACATAGAAGATCTTGGATCCGATGCGTCGTCCTTCGACCTTGAAAAGGAGGCTGCAGTTCCGTTAGAGGTGGATAGAGGGAGCGCCCATCGCGTCCGGACTGGGCCGAAACACTCATGCAAGAGGGGAACGCGCTTGACAGGGAAGAGAAGCGAGGGTGCCGTCGGTAGGAGGAATATCCAAACACGAAAGGCGAGAAAGAAGCTCGGCAGCCAGAGAGGGAATTGCGTGGAGAGGGTGGAAGTAGGCGGTCTGCTGCCACCGATAGACGTCAACTGGAAGGCGGGGCAGCTAGTCGGCCAGCTCCCGTCCGCGGACACCAAACCCGCCGGTGATGTCCAACGGTCACAGCACACGCCTCATCCCAAAACTGGAAGGATCCAACGAAGGAGGAAGCGCTCTGGTAACCTCCGTCATTCCCCGAAAGGAGACAGAAACCAACCAAGTGCATGGCTGTAGATGGTCCAAACAATAAACTGCATTGAGAAACGTGCATTCATTATACATGTGCATATTACAAAATGTCGTATGTATCAAAACCCTGCGTGGGAAAATGTCAACACACACAACGAACTCAGTTTAGACTGACAGCGAACATCACAACAAAAGAAAAGTCAAACCACAGTTTTGCACGAAACAAATTCAAGATGCGTTCACAAGAAACTCAATAAAACAGTGCAGGAGTTTAAGCCTCAGTAGTATTTTTTTTCCTATCACAAGTAATTGATTTGGTTGATTTTATCGGATGACTACAGGACTTCAGATATGAAGATATACGCATGAGTTACAATAACTGATATGGGAATACACATATTCTTAGTACCTAGCACGTCGGCAGAACGTACTGCGCTTCCCGTATTGTATTGTGCATAGCACTGTTACAGACGATATCTTTTTCAACACAACATTTGGAAGCTACAGACGGGATGCGCGAATATGACCTTATATGAGACGTTCTGCTGAAGTGCTATGCACAATACATTACGGTATACAGAACGTTCTGTCGACGTGCTTCAATATCTAAGGCCACAGCAAGTAATTTTTATGGATGACATCAGCGCACATTAATTTTCGCCTGATTTTGGAAACAAAAACGACATTTCATTGCCCTCTGACAGTGATCAACATGCCGAAAATGGGCAAAGATGTCTGTTGCCATGCCGGAACGTGGATGGCAGATAAATATGAAGAGAGGAGACAAGACAAGACTCTGATTTATTCTTCTGTCTTTACTTTGATGGAGTGAAGTACTAGTATTTCATTCCTTTTATATGTGATGGTGGCTGTGTTTATGTGATGTTTCCACTGAATCAAAACCAATGATTCAAAACTTGTTTTTCAAAGTTGTTTAAGTGACAAACGGGTGTTGTATAGATGTCAGTAAACTTACCACAATGTATGTATCATTTTTATGTCAAAATTTGAAAATGTAGGAATCTTGTTTTTAGCCCGCCTTGTTTTTTTCGCCCTATCGTATTAGATTTGGAGTCTGCGGAGGATGTCATCCATAAAATTTACTTTTTGTGGCCTAAATTCCCAACACTAATATATGACGTACGAGGTTCCTGTTTAACCCATTTTTTGACAAACAAAAGTTAATAAATGTCAGATTCTATTCACGGAGGTCAGCATGATGAAGCATGTTTATGACATGCCTTCACGTCCCAAAATTCAATCACACAAAACCTCTTCACAAATTAAACGCACTCCAATGAGATACCATAAAACCATTAGACATTTAGATAACTCTGCAAATTCTAAAGAAAAGGTGACGGAGGTAAATATTTTCTTTTGTCACCAGCAAACATGTTATTTCACCAATAAGTGTGTGAGTTATGGCATGTACAGGCCCGATAATACAAGATGCCGCTAGTTATACAATGGCTTGATGTTGGTAACAACAGCTAGTATCATTCCCTGGTAACACATCCTTCGTATCTGATTCGCTATCTTTGTTTGCCGTAAGGCCCGGGTACCCTCTTGACATTTGCCATGTCACCAAAGGACGTGGTAGCTAAGGTATATCTGAACCACATGTGTGGTTATTGTTAATCATTAGACTCAGTGTTCTCAGGGAGACATTTTGGCTTAGTTCAAGCACCTTGCAGTGTCCCCAACAGATCGTGAACAGTGAAGAAAGCGTATTCTCCTGACCCAAACGTCACTAGGGATATTTTCTTGGAGAAAGATCGCGTCTGTGATCAAGCATGGCGCCAGCCAGTTCGTTCCTAGCGGCTTTGGGGCTTATGGCAGGTAGGTGATATTCATCATGGCTCCCGCCATAGTATTATAACCTGTCTACGTCTACGTCTACATTCTCAGAGCCAACCACATTGAAGTATTGAAAAACCGTTACATTTTAAAGCCGACGTTTTGTGTACATGTATGTCAAAGTGTTGAGAAAAGTGGGATCGCTATGTAAGCTACTCACTCACTATGTAAGCTACACCTGTTCAATAACTGGTGCCATGTTGCATTACCACCTATCTACGTCTACGTACGAACATTCTCAGAGCCAACCACATGGCAGTACTGAAAAACCGTTACATTTTGAATCCGACGTTTTGTGTGCATGCATGACAGAGTGTTGTGAAAAGTGGGATCGCTATGTAAGCTACACCTGTTCAATAACTGGTGCCATTGCATTACCACCTATCTACGTCTACGGGATGTACGTACGAACATTCTCAGAGCCAACCACATGGTAGTACTGAAAAATCGTTACATTTTGAATTCGACGTTTTGTGTGCATGCATGACGAGAAAAGGGGATCGCTATGTACATGTAAGCTGCACCTGTGCAATAACTGGTGCCATTGCATTACCACGTACAAACATTCTCAGAGCCAACCAGTGTAGTACTGAAAAACCGTTACATTTTGAATCCGACGTTTTGTGTGCATGCATGACACAGTGTTGTGAAAAGTGGGATCGCTATGTAAGCTGCACCTGTTCAATCTTTTAGTAGCAAACACCTTGACACGTTAGTTGTTTCTTTGCACAAACACGTGCATTCCTTTTCAAAGATGTTGATACCTTAATCTACATACATTTAACACACATTACAGTCTTGACCTGCCATGTACTTGGACCACTTCTTGTGGGTGTAGTTCTTGTATTGCTTCTAGACCGCACTTAGTCTTATTTCAACACAATATATTATAACTACTTATTAGATATATTTGAATTATCCTTAACCTTCTATATTAATGTATTTTCACTTGTTGTTATTGACTATGTAAATTTTGATGTTGTATATTGTGTTTTTGTATGGGGGAGGGCAACTTGTCAAGGTGTGTATGCACCTGGTTTGCCCTCCCTTTCACTTTGTGAAAGATGGAAATAAACAAATAAACAAATACATGGGCAGGGGGTAAATACTCTCCTTCGTAATAGAATGAATACAGCAGAGGATGTTGTGTACCCTAATGTTAATAGAGAATTAATTCCGCAGTTTTCAGAAGGACTGTCTGTGATAAGTGTGTGTCCAGCTGGCACCTTTCTGTGTGTATCTGTGCTACTGTGCTCTTTTTCCCGTTTAACCTGTTCATCTAGAAGCCAGTCAATTGCCAAAGTAATGTCCATATATAGCTAGACATATAACCACATCAATACTAGTACAGCTGCTGTATTACAATATGCCTAACAAGAGTTCCACGATCTCATACCTTCGCCAAATGATGTTAACCCTTGCGGGTGACGAATTATACAATTTAATCATTGATTTTGTAAATAAGAGCCTCATTTGCATGGATTATATCAGTTGATCATATTCTCCATCCAATGACAGCCTTATCATAACAAAAAGGCTATTGTAGCACTTCCTCATAAATTATGCAAATCAGGTCAAAATTTGAATAAATTATATTTATTGATGTTCACCTTCACTTAACTTCCAAATGTGGCAAGTATGAAATTCGGGGTGCAGCAGTTACAACTATGGAATTATAAGAATTTGCCATTAATTATGCAAATTAGGTCCTCATTTACATAATCTATATCCTCAGATGTTTTTCTCGTTCTCAAGTAGATGTCACAAGTGTTTCATAGTTCTATTATCGAACAAAGCAGATTTATAGAATTTCCTCATTAATTATGCAAATTAGCTCCTGATTTGCATAATTGCCATCTGATTATGTCCAGCATCACTTCAACTACCTACATACCAAAAATCACGACAATACGTCAACCGGTTCTTGAGTTATCGTCCTTCAATTTTTTTTTCAACAAATGCTCCTGCAGTTCTAGAACAAGGCGCTAGGGGACCCAAACTCATGTCACGTCTTCCCTACCCCAAGAGCTATCTACCAACCAAAATTCATGACCCTAGCATGTCCAGAACATGAGATATCAAAACCGGAAGTTCAGCTGCAGTACCTAGGAAAGCCGCAAGGGGGCCCAAAATCTAATCATTTCTAGGTCTCATGAAGACCTACCCACCTACCAAGTTTCATTCCAATCCATCCACTGCTTCTCGAGTTATCTTGCTAAACCACACACACACAAACACACCCACCCACACACACACAGACAAACGCTACTGAAAACATAACCTTCTTGGCGAAGGTAATTATAGCTAGCTCGGAAAACTTGAGAACACTAAATGTGGCACTCGATGTGTTTCACATTCGAGAAGTTTTTTTTTTTAAGTTTTTTCCCCAAAGAAGTCTCTAAAATACGAACATCAGCTTTTTATGAACAGTTTTTTTTCCTTAGTTCACAGAATGTTTGGAAATGACAAAGTACGTAGTGCCAACCACCGTGTCTCAGGGATGTTTCATTTCACAATGTTTAGGAGGAGACGGTAATTCAAAAACAAACGCCTCTTCCTTCTCTCCCTTTTGCTCATTTCAGTATGCCCATCTCCAATGTCTAAAAATTGTTTTCAACTTGAGTGTGACCTTTCTCAAAGGAGTGATAGTTAATATCTTTCACCTTTGCTTCGTAGATGCTTTGTCATAATCCAGTAGATTTGTAAACGCAGGTCAAATTATTATTACCTAAGAGAACGACCCTTAAACTCGTCAGCTCGGTACAGAGGTCACCTCACAAGGCAGTAAACAACGCGTACGCCATCTTTAGGCCACAGCAAGTAATGTTTATGGATGACATCTACGCGCGCATTAATTTTCGCCACATTTTGGAAAGAAAAAAAAGAAATTTTGTTGCCCTCTGACAGTGTGTCAACATACACGTACATAGTGTACTAGTAGAGTTGCGATACATGTAAATAACATGCATGCTCATAGTAAAACGTTGAACTTTATTCCAACACACAATTTACAGAGAGATCAAATTTTCAGCGACCACTGTCGCCTTCATCAGGATAATTAATGACCAATCACTTCACAACGTGGTCTCGCGAGAGTTACGGCCTACAAAGACGTGACCTTATTCACACGAGACTTTATAAGGTCACGTGTTTTTAAACCGTAACTCTCGCGAGACCACGTTGTGAAGTGATTGGTCATTAATTATCCTGATGAAGGCGACAGTGGTCGCTGAAAATTTGATCTCTGTAAACTGTGTGTTGGAATAAAGTTCAACGTTTTACTATGATTACTACCAACACAGATGAACTTTCATGATAACATGCATGCTCCTACATAGTATTCGCGTGCTTGGTAGTAATATTTCTGCCTACGTTGACTCACGTACTACGTGTTCTGTTGTGTCTCACTCATTCAGTACTAGAGACCATCATGTTTTCTCTGCCGTTCCTACTAGTTACCTACATGTCCATGTGTGAGGCCCAGGGGACGCAATCCTTCATAGGTAAGTCCTTGTCTTTATAAGTGTCGGTGTCTTCTAGACTCTACGCAGACTACATTATATAGCACTTCACTCAACTACAAGATCGCTGCTGTTCTGTTGACAGCAAATGCGTCATTTGAAGCCCCACCGTTTCATATCATATATAGTGAAGGCATTTGACTCTTCATACGTACTGGTATATGTTAAATCGTACATACTACTAAGGGTAGACTTGAATCTAGGATTAAATACTTGTTGAAGGTAGTCTATTACCCCTATAAATGAACCACTCTATTGTCCAAGCATTGTCTTTTTCGACATATAAATTATACGTTATTTCATTATCAACTACACATGACTTGTAGAGTGTTTTTAACATCGTTTCCCACCCTCAGGTTAGATAATTAACGCCCCACGTTCTGACCCGTAAGAGTCCCGACAGATTGGTTGACCATAAACCCACAGTGAAGTGTCGCAGGTGGGGCAAAATCAATCTTAGGAGCAGTTCAGACCTGAGGCCCAGGAAAAGGTTTCCCCAAAAACAGCCCTAAGGCCACAGCAAGTAAATTTTATGGATGACATCCCCCGCAGAGTCCAAATCTAATGCGAGCGGGCGAAAAAAAAACAAGGAAATAAATTTCATAAAATAAAACAGCAAGTAAAAAAAACAGCAAGTAAATTTTATGGATGACATCCTCCGCAGAGTCCAAATCTAATGCGAGCGGGCGAAAAAAACAAGGCGGGCCAAAAAAAAACAAGGTTCCTACATTTTAAAATTTTGACTCAATCATTGTACAAATGGTTTTGATTCAGTGGGAACATCACATATACACAGCCAACATCACATATCACTGCATCAAAGTAAGAAACAGAGCCTTTTCTTGTCTCCTCTCTTCATAGTTATCTGCCATCCACCTTCCGGCATGGCAGCAGACATCTTTGCCCATTTTCCGCATGGTGACCACTGTCAGAAGGCAACAAAATTTCTTGGTTTTTTTTCCTCCAATATCAGGCGAAAATTAATGTGCGCGTAGATGTCATCCATAAAAATTACTTGCTGTGGCCTAAGTTTCTACAAACGACAATTTAGTCCATTAGAATACTTAAAGGCGTGTTCATTAAGCTCATATATATACTATATAATATTCATGATTTTAGTTTCGTTATGAAATTGAGTGTGTAATAAGCACAGTATCGGTTGACTTGAGCATGTACGCTGTGTTATAACATACCTAAGTGAAGGCCACACCAATTTAATTTATTTGTTCTCGGATTTTTCAGAAAAAAATGAAGCGACAGGGCGAAATAAAAAAAAGATAAATAAAAACAGGACTAGGCATGCTAGTATAGCCCCAAATGGACGCCGCGCCGCGTGCCTGCGAAGCTGGTGTGTTACGCCGAAAGGCGGTTATACAGATACAGATACAGAAATGATGTCAAAGGAGCCATGAAGTCAAAACAAAAGGCTGGGCTAATGAATTTTGAAATTCTAATCAAAACATTAAGTAAGTAAAGTAAGTAATCAAACCATTGCATTGATAGATGGAAAAACGTTAACTGTAACAATTAGGAAGAAAAAAGACTTTCCTTAACTGTTGGGGGCAAAATGTGAGCATTTTGTAGTTGATTCAGAACCAGAATCTTTTTTTTTTTTTTGCAAATCAGAAAAAAATGAAGCGAATCCGAGAACCAACAAGTTAAATTGGTGCGGCCTAAACTTAATAAAAAATACGCTGAAAATGACATGCGACAAGCTTATTAGTTGCTAATGATTCGCAGCTAACATAACAGGACGCCCGGGCATTTCATAAATAATGTAGCCGTTTCTGGAACGTCAGTTTTTTCAGCCCGTGTTAGGCCACACCAATTTA